TTTTAATTTTAAAATTTTTTTAGAGATAGGGTCTCACTCTGTTGTCCAGGCTGGAGTGCACTGGTGCAATCATAGCACACTGTAACCTCGAACTCCTGGGCCCAAGCCATCCTCCCACCTCAGCCTCAGCCTGAAGTAACTGGGACTATCAGCACTTGCCACCACACCCAGCTAATTTAAAAAAAAAAATTTGTAAAGGCAGGGTCTTGCTGTGGTACCCATGCCTGGTTGTCCAATCACATCTCTACGTGGTTGTCCATGCTTCAATCGTGCCTAGCCAATGAAGTCTGCACAAAGGGCCCAAGCGGAGGGGAGAGGGAGAGGTTCTGGATGGCTGAACAAACGGAGATATCCTGGAGTGTGACATGCCTGGGAAGGGCATGGAAACTTCCTGCCCATTCCGCCATACCTTGCCCTGTGCGTCTCTTCATCTGTACCCTTTGTGCTACCTTTCTACTACCCTTTATAATAAACCAGTAAAAGTAAATGTTTCCCTGAGTTCTGTGAGCCATTCTAGCAAATTTAATCGAACCCAAGAATGAGGGTTGTGGAAACCTCAATTTGTAGCCAGTTGGGCAGCAGCACAGGTAAAACAACCTGAGGCTTACAGTTGGTATCAGAATAGGGGGCAGTCTTGTAGGACTGAGCCCTCAACCTAGGAGATCCAATGCTGTCACCAGGTAGATAGTGTCAGAATTGAATTGGAGGACACCCAGTTGGTGTCTGCTGCAGAATTGATTGGCTTGCTTGTTGTTGGGGGAGAAATGCCCACACATTTGTCACAGAAGTCCTCTGTGTTGATTGTTGTGGTATGAGAGCAGAGGGAAAACTGTTTGGTTTTTTTCTACACAGTATGCTTTGGACAGCAGATAACACAACTTAGAATGCATTAGGGAAGGAGACCTATTTTCATGTAAGGAAGGTACTGAAGTAGGCATGCAGAGGCTCAACAGTGTCATCAAGCACTCAGGTCCTTTCCAGGCCTCTCTTCTGGCTTCTGCAATTAACAAGCTTCAATGGCAGGCTGCTTCCTTCAGGAGCACCACAAGCAGCATTGGGGGCTGCATGCTTCTGTAATTGGGCCCCTTGAGATTTTAGTAGCCTGACATTTTATCACTTAAATAATGTAAAATTTGATTATGCCCTTGATTGCTTGCACATGTTAAGTGCTTGCTTCATGCCTAGCACCCTTGTTCTGGCAGTAACTATTAACTGCTAATGTGCTGGGTTTTTTGTTTGTCAACCACTCCAGGGTTACAAGGATCTATGAATTTGTTTTGCAGGAGTGAATGCCCTTGAGAAAGTTGTAACTAGCTCCTGATGCCCAGAAGTCTGGTTATTCAAGGTGTTATTAGAGACTAAAAGCAACACAGAAACCCACCCCTACCCTAGTCCCGTATTCCCTAGCTGCATAAAAGCTCCCTGCTTGTTGGGGTAGTTTAGAAATGTTAGGGTGACCTAAAGATATTGCTGGCATAAGAACCTCTGCGGATGTGACAGTCTGCATAGGTGTGGCTGTTTTCCAAGTGGTAGGGACATTCCAAGGGCAGGAGGAACTGAAAACAGTTTCTGTCCCGGGGTGGCAAACTGCTCCAGGACCGCAATCAGAAACGCCCAACCTGCTGGAAAACTAGCCTGGCCGCAATCCCAAATTTATGTTCTTGTTTAGCTTGAGGCTAGAAATAGCTTTGCTGAGATTATTGTGCACCTGCATATCTTAATCTTTATAAATAATCTTTAAAGTTTGCCTGTGGGGGATCTTTAGGATATGTAATCTTTATGGAAATCTACAGAACATTGTTTGCCTGTGGGATATCTTTAGAACATGTTTGTTCGTATGATTTACAATGATCTTTTGTTCTTGGGATGAATAAATAAGAGTGAGGAATTACTCTCTTGGGACTCTTGGTCTGGAAAGCCTTGAGTCCCCTAACCCCATTCTTTCTCTTTTACTGTCTCATTTCTTATTCCTGCCCAATGCCCTGTCTTCAGACCTGTCGGCTGGGGAATTTCCTGGCACCTGCTTCAATTCCTTAGGAAGATGGATTTGAAAGATTTTGCTCTCCTATCTTCTTGCTTTAGCCAAATCAAACAAACCTTTCTCTGTCTCCAAGCACTGGTGACACAGTGTTTGGCTTTAGCTGCTCATCGGGTACACAAGAATTTGGGATTCTACAATACTTTCTTATTCACTTCTAGCTGGAGAAAAGAAGTTCTGCCCAGCATTCTGAGTAAGAATCCTGATTCCCACTAACTGGCCCACTTAGGTCACATGCTTATCCCCGAACCAGTGATCATGATCTGGAATAAAAGGTATTGATTGGTATAAGTCAATCAGGGCTGACTCCTGGACCTGGGGTGACGTCAGCTTCCTGCTCAGGCCCACAAAAGCTTAGAAGCTTTCAGAAGTGGGAGAATGATGCTGGCTAGATAACCACAATGTCCATTACAATAGGTCTCTGTCAAGCTAGGGATTTGGGGTTGTCAGCAATAGAAACTAACTCAAACAGAAACAGACTATACAGAATGGGGAGATAGGCAGTTCTCCAAAGGAAAGTTAGGGTGCTATTATTAGAAGAAAGGGGAAGGGTGCTAGACAGGACATACTTACAAATATCCAATGGTTAATTCTTTTTCTTTTGCCTAATATTAAACAATATCTATCTACTGGTTATTTCATAGAAAGCCCCCAAATGTATTTATTTTTAAATTATTATTAAATTAAATTATTAAATTATTTATTTTTAAATTATTATTAACCCAGTAGTGAAATCTGGGAGTTAAGAGCAGAAAAAGAGGGAGCCTGGCACAAAGGAGGAAAAATGACAACAAGTCCTAACAACACGGCAGCTGTCAGGGGTCCTGCAGAGACAGGTCCTCTGGTGGAAAACTCCTCCCAGGAATGTGAGGACTTTTAAGAACAAAATAGTAATAACACAAGAATAAACATACATACAAAAAACAAACAACAAAACACCAGAATAGAGTGTCTAGAAATGGACACAAGTATATGAGATGTCTTAATTTATCAGGGGCAGCATTTAAATTCCGTTGGGAACGGGGCAGTTTGTTTAACACACGGTGCTGTCATAATTGGCTTTTCATCTGGCAGAAAACAAAGTTAGACCCTAACTCATATATAGATACATGGATGAATTCCAGTTATATTAAAGATTTAAATTTTTTAAAAAGAAGCAATAAGGAAGAAAAGGAAAAAGGGAGGAAGAAACGGAAAAAGAGAGAAAGGGGGACGGGCAGTAAGAGAAGGGGGCAGGAGAGGGAACGAGAGAGGAAGAGAGAAGAAAGAAAGAACAGCCAACCAGAGGACTAGAGAAACTTCCCCAAGCCGGAAGCACAGCGTGCGCCGCTTCTCATTCGGCCTCTTGCGTTTGGCTCACGGCATACGTCTCAGGAAATCTAGCCAATGAAAATTGGGCATGGTCGGCGCGCTCAGCCAATGGGGTCGGAGCGGGAGATTTGAAAGGGCCTCGGCGAGGGCACGGCTTAGGCGATTCTGTCGTTTGCGGAACCGGGAGAGTAGCGGTGCCTCGGGCTGCAG